TTGTTCCTAGCACTTCCCATTCCCTTCCCAGGACCCCTGGCTCCCAGTCCCACTTGGAGGATGGAGTGCAAATGGCATGAAAGAATGAGAACATACAGAGCCCAGGAAAGCTGTGTGTGTGGCATTCTGATGGGCGAAACCACAGGACTATCTTCCAGTGGCAGATGCAGTTAAGTGCAGATTAGACATGTCCTGAGTCACTAAATCGAATCCCTCTCCAGCCCTAGTTACATCCCCTACTTCAGATTCATCCCCAGTCAATCATCAGAGCTGAGTCAATTTCACATGCAGTGATGGGGGCAGGGAGAAGAAGCTGCCTGTGAGAGTCACTGTGTCCCTTTCCTCTCCAATGGACTAGGACTCGCTAGTACAAAGAGCCCCCATCTCAGTATCAGAGAGCGCCCTGCCGGGACCTCTCCAGCCCTAGTTACATCCCCTACTTCAGATTCATCCCCAGTCAATCATCAGAGCTGAGTCAATTTCACATGCAGTGATGGGGGCAGGGAGAAGAAGCTGCCTGTGAGAGTCACTGTGTCCCTTTCCTCTCCAATGGACTAGGACTCGCTAGTACAAAGAGCCCCCATCTCAGTATCAGAGAGCGCCCTGCCGGGAGCAGAGAAAAGGGGGACGTTGAACCAGGGCTGGCGTGGAACCAAATGTCCTGCTTCTAATGAAAATGAAGCTCAGCCCCCCATCACAAGCCAGAGTTGCTGGGTGGGGGCATACCGGAGGGTGCCACTTGAAACAATCCTACCCATCACCAAAAAAGCCCCTGTGACCTGACAGCCTGACCATACTGAGGCCTGGAATGGAACAGAGTGTCCTAGACAAAGCATGGATCACACCCGGAACGCCAACAGAACCACTAGCCTTAGATTCTCTGGGATTCCTTCAGGCTGAGGAAGGGAGAAATCAAGCCACGATGCAAAGTCGGGGGAAGGATTCACAAGCTGGGGTTGCTGTTTTGTACCCATTCCCATCTCTGGAGACATCTGCAGCTAATCACTGGGTTGGCTCAGTCGTGCTTGGTCCAGTAGGGAAGGCGCCACAGAGAGGAATGACAGAACAAGGCCAGCTGGGCTCTGAGAATCAGGGGTTCGAACCCACCCCAAGGACACAATAAAAACAAACCACATGGAGGTAAAATGCTTTTCTCTCTTTTTTTAATAAATTTAAGAACCACCCCTCCCCCGTCGAATGCAGCAACTAAAATAAACTAAAAGGAATCAGGGCTACGAGTCATAATCTTCCTCCTCCTCGTCCTGCGCTGGGACAGGGGGTGCTGGAGCAGAGGCCATCATGGCAGGCAGGGCTGGGGGCACGGAGACAGGCATGGCCATGGTGGACTGTGGGGGGCAGGTGAAGTGCAAATATGGCGCTGGAGAGCTGGAGCCAGGGCGGGGAGAAGGAAGAAAATTAGTGTGGGGGAGGGAAGATCATCTACCCCATATCCCTCACCCCCGCCGTTGGCCCAATCACATCTATGGGCTCTTCCAGTATCCCCATTATCCTATCCAGCCTGGTGTCCACCCCCTCTATCAGGGCAACAGGCCCATCTGGCTTGTTATGCCCCCAGCTCTGTTCCACAAGTCAGGATCCATCCAGAGCATATGTTCTGCTACGAGGGTTCCAGCGCCCACTCCCCGTAAGTAGCTAAAGTTCGACTCTAACCCCTCAATCCCACTCCCATCCCTCAGTCAGGGATAGAACTCAGAAGTCTTGCCCCCTAGCCCAAGATCTAAACACTAGCCAGCACTGCCCAGTCCCTCAGCCCTACTGAGGTAGTGCCTGGCTCGGCAGGCCATGGCTCCTGACTGGACAGCCTCCGATTCATACCTGGGGAAGTGAGTGGTGGGGCGGCTGGGGGGTGTAGACTGGGACGTCTCCTCTTCCCCATCGCTCTCACTGTCCTCAGAATCATCCTGTGGAAGCAGGTTAAGCAGGGGGCTCAGCATGGAGATGGCACCACCTGAGGGACACAGTGACTCATGCTCCCCAGAGCTGGCCCCATGGACACTGAGCAGGAAAAGGGGAAAGGGACTCAGCCCCACGTCCCACAAAAGGGAAACGATAGAGCTGAGAATAGAACCCAAGAGACCTGGCTCTCAGCACCCCCCTGCTGTAGCCACCAGACCCTACACCCCTCTGTGGATACCCAGCCCATACACCATACAGGGAGGCAGCCAAGATGGGCAACCTCTGAAGAACCTTCACCATCTATCCCACACAAGGACTTAAACTTCTCCCCCGGCCCTCAGTGTCCCATGCACATCAGCAAAGCTCAGCCAGCAGGGGGCACTACTGCATGCAGGAAGGAGCCTGCGGGCTGGGAGACACCTCCTGCTAGATTCACCTCCTGCTCAGAGTCTGTGCCTGACTGCTTCGGGTCCTTTCCTTTGCTGCCAGTGCCACCGTTCTTCCGCCCACTGCCTGGCTTCCGGCCCCTGCGTCCAGAGAGAGACCAAGGAGTCGTCAGGGCTCTGTCAATGGATGGGGACTCCAGCAGAGACTGATGCAGAAAGCATCCCTTGACCCCTCAATCCTGGGTCACTCAGTCCCCCTGGCTTCACGCCAGGGCTCCCCGGTCACATCCCAACCCCAACACCCTTGAACCACACTTTGGGGTTCCACTTGTCAAGCTCCCAAACTGGCCACAGCACTCCCTACTGGGACAATCACCGGTAATGTGTTCCAATCCCCTGGGGGTGCAATGGGGAAGAGGCGTTTAGGAATCACTTTGCAACAGGGCTGGAGTGCAGCCATCTCTGGTGTGTGGTATGGTGGCTGGGTAACAGCACACAGCAACAACGCCCAGGTTCCGCTAGGAAGCATGAAGAAGGCCCACGCCTAGTTCTGAGGGCAAAGCAGGGGTTTTGGGAGGCAGAATGAATTGGAATTGAGTTGGACACTGGAGTTTTTTCTCAAATTCTTAGTGAAGGGTGAGAGCATCTGTGGTAACCACCGTCTGTCAGTGTCTCCCTGCAACACAGCACTCCCTAGTGCTGTGCTACAGCTAGCAGTGACTAAGAGGAGGCACACCCCTCCTGAGCCCCACCACACTCCCTGCAGCACACTGGGGAATAAAGGCCAGCGTCAGCTGTGGGTGCAGAGTGCCCTCTACTGAGCCCCAGCCTCATTCACTGTAGCACAGTGCCTCAGGGAGCATTCGCCAGCAGCAGGGATGTCAAAGTGTAGACGACTACACAATTGATTGATAAGCCTGGGCTTATCGGTTAATCCTGCTGATTACACACATTCCCTGCCTTGCTGCCTCTGTATCAGAGGCAGCAGGGGGAGGAGAGGTGGGAGCTGGTGTCTGCCGGGCTCCTCATGTTCACTGGATCCGCCTGCCTGTCCCACCCACTGCCTGATAGAGAAGCAGCAGTGTGGAGGGCGAGGGGGGCAGGCGGGAGCCAAGAATGCAGCTCTCCATGCATACCAGCTCTGTGGAGCCACCTGTCCCCCTTCCCCTTGCTTCCCCCTACAGAGGCAGCAGGGGGGCAGACAGGAACTGGTGCTGGAGGAAGCCAACAACTGGCTCCGCGGAGCTGCCTAGGCCCTGTCCCCACATCCAAGGTCCCCACAGGAAGGGGCTGCTCCAGCATCCCATGGGGCAGCCTCTGTCCACAGTGAGCCTTGGAACACCGCAGACAAAGGCTGCTCTGCAGCAGCAGCCCCTGTCTGTGTGGGTCCGACCTCCCCGGACAGGGGGCTGCTCCATGCCGGAGCAGCCTCGGTCTGCAGGGCGCTTGGAGCCCCAACAGACAGGGGCTCCTGCCACCCGCACTGCTGCCTCTGTGTCAGAGGCAGCAGCAGCAAGGGGCAGCAGGCGGGAGCCCGTCTGCGCAGGGAGTTGGTTTTTAAACAGGCTCCCCTTGTGGACTGGCTCTTGCCTGCCACCTTGTGCTGGTGCTTCTGATAGAGAAGCAAGAGCACAGGGTGGCAGACACCTCCCCGGGAATGGGGCCGGGAGCACGCTGGCTGCCAGCTCTGCCCCCAGGGACTATCAAATAATCATGTAACGGCTAAAATTTCATGTGGTTACACGACTATTCAATTACACGGTCTCTAACATCCCTAGCCAGCACTGGCTGCAAGGTACAAACCTCTCCACTGAGCCTCTCACCCCCCTCCCTGTAGCACAACGCCGCCTACTGCCCACCTCCTAGAGACCTTCTCGCCCTCAGCGTGGTTGTCCTCCACGTCTCCCTGCATGTCGGGCACCGAGGCCACCAGATCCTTGAGGAAGTCGAACTGCTGCTCCAGCTCTATACACTGCTTCCTGCAGGGAACGGAGAGCAACTCAGATTCTGGGGGAGGGGACTGCAGCACCCCCACTCTCAGAAACCTCTTCCCCAGCCCTCAGTTTCCCAGACCCTATTGGCTTCCTGAGGACTAATAGGGATCCCCATGGTGTATCCAGCCCAGCTGGGGATGCAGGGTTTAAAGTCTCTCTTCCGCACACAGTAATCATCATTGCCTCCCTGAGCTTCAGTCCTGCTAGGGATCAGTGACTCAAACCCACCTACCTCCCCATTTGAAAATGGGGAAACTGAGGCACAAAGGAGGGGAAAGGACTATCTAAAAGTGCTATAGTGAATGGGTGTCAAAGCAGAGAATGAAACCTAGGAGTGCTGGCACCCAACCCGCTGTTCTAAGTGAGACAGGTCTGTCTTGTAGCTGTGCTGATCTGGTTGTGGAGTAGATCTGGCATTTCTTTGTTCCAGTACTGCAAGAGTTGGGTCACAAAGTCCCCAGCTGGGCAGAAGAGGGGTGCACAGGTGGAAAGGGGTACTTACAGGTGGGAGGTGGTCATGGTCTTGGCATTTCTGGACTGTGTCACCTGACAGGCCTTCCTGAGGAGCGACTCCAAGAACAGCTCCAGCGCCCGGGCTAGGGCAAGCCAAGGGTTAAGGGAACTCAGCACTGGGATCAGAACCCAGGAGTCCTGGCTCCCAGCCATCTCCCATCCTGCTCTGACCCAATAGCTCTTCTCCCCTCCCAGAGCTGGGGATGGAATCCAGGAGACCTGGCTCCCACTCCCGCTCATGACCCCGGTCTAACACCACTTTCCTCCCAGAGCTCAGACAGAACTCCGGAGTTCAGAACTCACAGCCTCCCCCTGCTCTAACCACTAGACAAGCTGCCTCTGATCCTTTGTGTAATCTGCTGCTGTAATTAGCCACTAGCTGGGACAATGAAACCTCTAGGATGATGAACCAAGCCTGGCTGGGAGGGAGATCCCCAGGACTGCCCAGACCACAAGGTGGCATTTGGGGTTCAGGAGTGGGAGCTCAGCACAACAGCACTCCCAAGGATACATATAATGACGGGAACAGCAGCGGCCACCTTCCCAATCTCCTCATCTGTCTGCATGATCTTCTTGATCCGGGCCTGGGAGAGAGATGAAAGGAAACAGTTACTATCAGGGATGGGGTCTTATGAACTGCCCTCAGGGCTCCCCACTCCCATCAATACTAATGCTAAGACCATGACTGTGTGGACCAGAGAGAGCACCCCATAAAGAGAAAGGCTTTCTAGTCCCAGCCATGGCACTGACCACATCTCATCCTCTGTTCCCCTGAACCGCCCTGTCTGCTGCCCTAACAGCAAAAGGTCCCAGATTCTATTCCCTACCCCTGGAATTAGCCAGGCCCAGACCTAGGGTTGGATTTGTACAGCTCTTGTGTATTCCCAGGCCATGTGCTCTAACTACTGGACTCCCCTTCCTTCCCAGAGCTGGGATAGATCCTAGGATTCCTGGCAAGCAAGCCTCTAATCTAACCACTAGCCCCATCCACTCCTCTCAAGTGATTTTAGATCTCCAGACACAGGTGCCATGCACCTCTTAATTCCTGCATGACGCTGCCACCCTTTCTCTAGGCCAGTGTTTCCCAATTTTATTGGGCCACAGAATCCTTTTCAGCTTGAAAGAATTTCAAGGAACTCCTAGGGTTGCCAGGGTAAAATTTGTCGAGGAAAAAAAAAAAAAAAGACCCTCCGTGCCCCGCCGCAAAAAGGCTCTGTCTCTTTAAGAGGGGGCGGGGAGTGCTGAGTTCTCACAGGACCCTTACTTTCATTTCTCGGAACCCCAGGGTTCTGCAGAGCACCAATTGGGAAACATTGCCCTAGGCCACCCTTCACTGAGAACAATCAGCACATGCTGTGCCCCTGGGGAGCTGGTCACTCCAGCAGAGATTCCATGGGTCACTGGCTCCTTTCTTTGGTGACTAGGTCCTTTGGGACAGCCAAGGCTGAGAGGTCAACTCCTTCCTTGCTTGCCCAAGCTCCAAGGGCACTGGTAGTCTCACCGAGAGCTATTCCTGCCCGTTATGGCTCTGGAAACCCTCCCTGTGCCTAAGCAACACAGCAGCGGCCCCCGTCTCCCCTCGCAAGCTAGGGTTCAAACTCACCCACCCCTCCAGACACAAATCAACACTTTCCTCCACTGGACTGGAGCATGCTGAAACCAAAGGATGTTTGTATCCATGTCACAGGGCAATAAAATCCCCTACACCCAGCCATGGGAGCCGACAGCTTCCAGGGAACCCAGTTCCATGCCCCCACAAGGGGCAGAGCTGGAGGCAGCAAGTCCTCAGTGCCACATGCATGGTGTTGGGCCTCCAGCAGGCCTCAGTGCCTCACGGAGCAGTGTTCCAGCAGCGATTTCAAGGGCCTGGGGCTTACGTCGCTGCAGTATCAGCAGCGGTGGCTGGGAGCCCTGGGCTCCTTTGAGTCACTGGGCCCTGGGGCGATTGCCCCCTTTGCCCCTCACCCTCATGTCAGGGGGCCTGCATCCAGCTAAGGGGGCAAAGCATAAGGTGTCAGCTGTCACAACCCAGGTGTAAAATAGCGAGGATCAAAGCTAAGTCACAAGCCTTGCCTTTTCTGGCATGCCAGGTACTGCACAGACTCTGAACTGAGATTGGGAGCTCCTTTGTTGTGCCTGGCAATGCACAGATCCCAACCCAAGATTAGGGGCCCCCCGCCGTGCCAAGTTCTGCACAGAGCCTGACATGAGACTGGGGGGCTCGACTGTGCCACGTACCACACAGACTCTAACTCAACACTGTGGCCCGTATTATGTTGGGCACTGCATGGATCCTGGCCCAAATTCAGGGCCCTGGCTGCACCAAGTGCTTCACAGACTGAAAGTGAGACAGTCATTGCCCTATGAAGTCACTCTTTAAACAGAGAAAATTTTATTACAGATGGGGAAACTGAGGCACCAAGAGACATATCTTGCTCAAGGTCACAGGGAGAACATGTAGTACAGCCAGGCACTGAACCCAGATCTCCAACTTCACCTGGTGCCCCAACCACAAAGTCAGAGCTTTAGCTTTGGGAACCAAAGGGGCATAGAAGCTAGAGTCAGTGCTGCCAGCTCTCACAATCTTACTGTCAACTTCACTCTAAAATCCCCAGCTTGTGGATTCAAGAGATGCAGATAGAATCACATCTTGACCCTTAAAAGGTCCTTCTCACCCGGGATGTGAATGACTAATCGACTATCCAATAAGCAAATGTTTATCCGATAGACGACACACTAGTCGACTAGTTGCTCTCCCTCTTGCTGCTGCTATCAGAAATAGGCAGCAAGCGAGAGAGGGAAGAGGAGGGGGTGCTTCAAAGCCGCAGCGCTGCGTGGAGCCTGGGGTCAGCTGGGGACTCCCCCACTGACCTTAGGCTCCAAGTGGCGCTGAGCTTTGAAATGCCTCATGGAGCCTGAGACCAGGCTCCCTTTGGTGTTTCAAGGTGGCAGTGCTGCATGGAGCCTGGGGTCAACTGGGGACTCCAAGTCCCCAGCTGACCCCGGGCTCCAGGAGGTGCGTCCGCTTTGAAACGTCATGGGGAGTATGGGGCAAGTGGGCGACTGCTTGAGTCCCCCCCTGGCCCCGTGCTCCCTGCAACACTTTTGCCTTTGAAGTGTAGCAACAACTTTAGGGCTGTTGCTACTTCAAAGGCGGAGGTGCCCTTACTGACTAAGCAAATAGTCGATGCAAATTGCATCAGCTATTCAATTAGCCAATTAATCTAAAGTTAACATCCCTACTTCCCACCAGAGCAAAAAGCAAATAAAAAAAAACCCTTGCACCTCCCAATGAGTCTCTTTTTTAAATCATGTTTTTAGGATCTGATGAAGGATTTTTAATCACTTGTGGATGGTAATGCCGATTTCAGTGATTTTGTGGTGGTGGTCAGGATGGTGAAGGTTCCCCAATTGGCATCAGGGAGCCCAACATAAGAAAGGAGGAACTGAAACTGAGAAGAGGTGAAATTGATCAGGCAGCTTTCATTTTCCATACTACCCCAACTCGGAAGATGTGACAAAGATAGAAAAGGAGGGCTTTGTGGTGCGAGCACACTGTGGTGAGAATTCCATGGGGAAAGGAGACCTATACAATCAGTAAATATATCCCCTTCTCATACAGTAGCAGTTTCTTCCTGCCATATCAATAAACAATCTTTCCCCTTTTCACTGAAGCCCTCAGGTACTACAGTAGTGTCCCAGGAGAGGCAGGTCCAGAATTAATTCATTTTATAGAAAGGAGAGCGGAGGGAAGTGTCCCTTCCACCCTGAATAGGACTGCATAGATGGCACTGCTGGGGCTAAAACCCAGGAATTTTGGCTCTTGTGCACGCTGCCTGCTCCTCCCCCCAACCCCATCCCTATTGTAACCCACTAGACCCCACTCCCCAGCCAGAACCAAGCATAGAATCCAGGAAACTTGAGTCCCCTTCATCTGAAAGACCATAATCCCACCAGACAGAATAACCTGAACCACACATTCTCCCCCATTGGCCCACCAGAGCTGTGGGTCCCAAAGGATTGGGGGGAGATTCATCATCCCTTAGGAGGGGGTGCATGAAGAGAACCTCTGAACGGGGGCCAAGTTTCATTACGGTTAAGGGGTGTGTGTGTGTGTGTGTGTAGAGCCCTTTTATGGTTGGGGGCCTTGACCAAAGAGGTCAGGGAGGGAAGATGAGGCTTCCTCACGAAGGGAGTTATCCTAGGATCCCTGAAGAGGTGGAAGATTCAAATGGAGGGCTACAGAGGGAAGGGGCATCCTTCTGGGGATTAGCAGTGGGCAGTATTGGAAGGAAACTCTATATGGGGTAGGGATGTGAAGGACTAGTCGACTATCCGATAAGGAAATGCTTATTGGATAGTTGACAGGATAGCGGACTAGTTGCTTCCCCCTGCCTCCCTTGCTGCCTGTATCAGATAGTTGCAGCAAGGGAGGGGAAGAAGGATGTACTTCAAAGTGGCAGCGCTGCACGGAGCCCCGGGTCAGCTGCTCCATGTGGTGCTGCTGCTGCTTTGAATGCCACAGGGAACCTGATGTGAGGCTCCTCGCAGCATTTCAAAGCGGCAGCGCTGCATGGAGCCCGGGATCATCAGGGGAGTCCTCCCACTGATCCCAGGCTTTGGTGCTTTTGCTTTTGAAGTGTAGCAAAAATGCATCGACTATCCAATTAGTCAATTGCCCAATGCTTAAATCCTTAATATGGGACAGAGGGGATCCAAATAGAGGGAAGCAGGTACATCCTTATGGGAGAGCAAGGAAGTCTTGAGTGGGGCAGGTGGGCATGCACTACAGGGAGAAGTGGATAATGAAAGTATGAGGGGCACATAAAAGAGGATGCTGCAGGAGTATCTCTATGTGAGCACTATAGAGGAAGACAATATTAGCTTGGGGTGGGTAAGGGGAGGCAGAGGCAGCGGGATGAAGACTGGGCCTGGTGGACTGGACTCCAGGGAGGAAGGAGGGAGCTAGGTCAGACAAGCCAGTGTGGACGAGGATGCAGCATTCACAGAGGCTCAGGCTGACCTAGGCTGGGTCCAGAACTTTGGAAGATCTGGAGAGGGGGGAAGGGGGTGTGAGAAGGTGGTAGGCTGAAGACAGACCGGGGTGGGGTTAGGGGGAACCCATGGAGGGAGCTAGGCTGGGCTCAGGGGAGTTAAGGGTGGAGGGCAGATGAAGGAGATGGGGGAGTGGCTAGGCCAGGCCCAGGGGGTTAAGCGGTATCAGAAAAGGGACTAGGTGGCCCGGGAGCTGGTGGAGAGGGGGGAAGGGGGTGTGAGAAGGTGGTAGGCTGAAGACAGACCGGGGTGGGGTTAGGGGGAACCCATGGAGGGAGCTAGGCTGGGCTCAGGGGAGTTAAGGGTGGAGGGCAGATGAAGGAGATGGGGGAGTGGCTAGGCCAGGCCCAGGGGGTTAAGCGGTATCAGAAAAGGGACTAGGTGGCCCGGGAGCTGGGTGTCAGGGTGACTAGACTGACCCGGGGGAGTTAAGGGGTATCGGGGGAAGGGGGGGCTAGGCCGGCCTGGTGCTGGGGGGGGCTTAGGGAGGATGCCGGGTGGAGCCAGGCCAACACAGAAGGTAAGGACGGCCCGAGGAGTTAAGGGGCATGGGGGGGCCGGCCGGCCCGGAGGGCAGGGGG